CTAGGACCCAAACTAGGGGATTGTGAAGGACCAACGGAGGCTAGTCCTGTGCATCTTTCTCTCACACCACGACACCATGTCATACACTGACCACCTGTCTGCCTTTTAAAATCAGACCCAGAGTCAGAAAATATTACACAACATGAAATTCACTGGTACGATACTCATAGTACATGATGACATTCGTATGATACACCCGAGCCACCGAAGTCAATGTTTCAAGATAGTGATACAAATGGAATTATCGTCTCTGTACCTGAACAAACGATGCCGAACCTCTGTATTACCAACATGGCGTTGACAATGGATCCCGGCTATCTTTCGGGAACAACGATGATAAAACTCACAGTCGCTTAGTACCTTTAAATCGGAGGGGCCAGTCTACACAAGCATGGGGCAAAACCAGTTTGATCCTCGAAAGTTATTCTTTCTCAGCTTTTTGTCAATCTAAGTAATATGACAGAAGCCAATTATTTGGTCGCCGTTGGAAGCAGACGTACCCCCAGATACTTGTTGCAGAAATGACGTGAACTTATCTAAAGATAGGAACAACTTTCGACTCATTCCATTATGTTGTAACACTCCCCAATATGGAGACCTTCGCAAACAACTCAGTTTATAAACTAGAATTCAGCCACCATTTTTAAGAAGGGTCGGAGGTAAGTCCTTTTGACCTGAAGATTCGAGTCGTTTCTGAAGTTCCTTGCGGCCTTCCGTTCATCCGGGTGGATCACTTGTCACGAGCCATATGGGGTAGGACAATTTGATCGATGTCACTGGAGCAGCAGACCAGTGAAACTGCGCCAGTAGTTGGTGCTGGCCAGAAATAATTTGTAGTCTGCGCGAAGTTGCAGCAGACGGTCACCACTACTTGGGCTCCGGCCAACAACCACCGAGATGACTCTCTGCTGTGCCTAAACGCTCGACCTGAACATTCAAGTACCTGGCTAGCACTACATTATTTGTCGAATACACTTTCTGTGGCAAAACAGTTTGCTGGTGGAGAAACTTACCGCTGATCACGGTCAGTCTGCAATCTATCTGAGCGTAGACGGAGACGACGAAAAGATATCGTTTCTCACACCGATTTCTCTCCACTTTCGTGAAACTTTTTAATCTAACTGCCCATAACGGCTGTAAACAGGGATCCAATCGATCAGTGCCGCTTAAACTCTAGCGCTTAATGAGACACACACGTTGGCAAAATGGACGAAAATAGCACAAAGTTCTCATATAGAAGCATGTGAAACAAGCTTTTCGAAGCAAATAATGGAGAGCAAATTTATGGCACTTCATTATAGTTGTGAATACGGATCTTTGATAGACACAGTCAATCCCATTTACAGTGGGGTGCGAACGTTGAAGGGGATTAGTTTGGATTGTATACATGGTTTCAGGAAGACTGGTTCAGAGTTCTTATTCAGTCGTAGCATCCAACTTTCGATCATTCAGTGACTTGAGATCGTCTATATAGGTTAAGGTTTCCACTAAATGCAAGCTGCGGTATAAATTGAAAAATGAAATACTCCGAGAGTAGCGAAGGTACATACCTGATGTAGTATAATGAAAATAATACGAATATTATCACATTGTTGTGAACATGATTTGTCTGAATGAGCGATGTAATTTTTCAGTAGTAAGCACTTGACTTGTGTGTGCTGGAATACGGCTCAGGTGCCCGAAACGTGCGAGTCACATACCGAGCCTTTGACCTAGAGATCTAATCCACAAGGCAGTGGCCTAATATTAGAAAGTACAGCCCCTCGGTCGACGGTAACGAACAACGGATTCACACGTCATTTGTTTTTCTCAGGATCCTGGGGATCATGTGTACTACTGGTTTGATCTTAAGTTTCTTTAAACTCCCTCAGGTGAATCCTCCGTACCAACCAAATTCGTTAAAGTGCTAGACATTTGCTTTTCATCCTCTCAATTTCGTGAAAAACACCCGGCCTCGAGGAAGGGGTGAGATGAACGATCCTGGGCGTGGCTTTACACTCGAGACCATGTGGGAGGGACGGTAGCTCTCCTCACCCTCGACCATATGGAAGCATTTGGGGGCGGAATACCCTGTGCTGAAGACTGAATCAATTCAACTTCGCGTTCCAGACACAAATCCTGCAGTCTCTTATGTACATTAAGCCTTTTCAAGTTTTTTAAATCCAGTATTGACAGTCCTGTTAAATTAACTGGAAAATTGCAACAACCTAGGTTGATTGGTTAAGAGTTGACAACAAACATCTTGGTAAATATCAGAACATTAAGGCTCAAGTGTTCATTTACTCCCCCATTTTGCATAGGTATTATACTTCTTATTATTTCATATTTGATTTTGAAAAGCTTTGTGTGTTTGTAGGGATAACATCGCGCTCCACTGTTTTCACCAGGGTTTAAGACGAGGAAATATTCACTACCAGTCTAGTTTCTTCTATCGGTAGAACGAGGGATACTCAATGGCAAAAAAAACACACAAGGCATATGTGTAGAATCATCATCTCTGATTGTCGATTCACAGTATTCTTGTATAGACAACTTATGTCCAGTGGTTACCCATGGTGAGAATTCAGTGAGATTTCAAGTTCTTGAATGAAATATTAGACTCTTTGCTGCCTGTGTCAACGATAAAGTTGTGGAATGAATAAAGGGAAGTATGCTATCGCTTCTAAATAAAGAAATTACCCTTTGGAATCGTGGATAGAGATAAATGATCACTAGATACACCCAAAATAAATAGAAAAAGAACTACGGGGTTTATTATCAATCCCGGCAAAATGTACAGTAGTTTGATAGACCGACTTGATGTGTCTCATTTTCTCACAATTAAAACCTTTAGGTTGAGGAAAAACACATAAATTACATAGGTAAAATTTACCACAGGATAAACACTAATCAAACATGTGTTCACCTCCGTAACCTGCTTTGCATTCCTTTGTTGAATTATTTTTCACATTTCCACGGGAATGGGAACCATTACTAGACAAATGGGAGCTTCAGCGACATTGAGAATGCAATTTATTAAAATGACTAGACAAAGTATTAAAATTATTCACGGAGTAGAAATCATGCTCGTCCACTGCTTCACGATCAATACATGTCGTTTTAATTTTTTGATATTATCTTCTAGGTTTCTGAGTTACTTCTTTTTTTAATTCGGAATATTTATACCAGCAATCAACCGATCTCGAAAATGAGTTTTCAATTGTCCTGTTTCTTTAGTTCAAGTATACAGTATTTTAATTTATGATAAATTTGTCGTGTCATTTTATGAAACTTTGACCTCTCTCTGCATTCGAAGCTGTCACACTGGACATGACTAAATAGTAACTCTCTGGGAGATTCATACAATAGTGAAATTAGTTTGTCAGGAAGAGTCGGATTCTTTAATAGTTTATAAGCTTGTTCGCCGATGAACGTCGGGAGATAAGCTGTTAATTTAACATCTTTAGTATCGTTTCTAGTCGTGCACTAGATTTCGAAGTCTTCAAGGCCATCCCTAAATGAATTAATATCCGACTGTCCGAGATTTGACCCCATTTCGACGACGGTGTGATAAGAAGTACTCGAATTAATGTACTAACTAACAATTTCCGAAATAGTACTGTTTAAGGCAGGTGGAACTAGATGAGCACAAATGAACGTAATTTATTTGGAAATCGTAGTCAGCGCGCGGCCATGTACAAAGGAATCATCAGTATATACAAATACCGTGCCTATTGCGTCCGCCATTCTATGGTGAAGCTATCGGTCGAACTACATATACCGACTATCGACCTCTTGAAGCATAGTCCTATCAGGTTGTAATCATGCAAGTTGAGCTTGAATTTATTAATCGTCATGCAGGTATCTGCTTAGCTCAACACTTGTTACAACCAACATCTTTTCGACATGTATGAAATACTGAGCATAATCCTGTGGTGCTACTTGACATCTCAAACACATATTGTTCGTGCTACGATTTATTCGCCTGTTGATGCCCAGTTTCGCCCGACCATCGATGATGGGACAAACATTTGTAGGAGTATTAGTGATGTGAAACAGACAAAAACTTTCCATGATCATTCCTCAAAAGTGTGTAGATAAAAAAATCAGAGTTATACCGTTTTAGAGCAATGCTAAACTGAATCGTTACGGCATATCTGTTTAGACCGCGTTCTAATGACCTTGAAATTTCAAGTATAGCGACTCACGTGCAATTGGGTTTATTCTCATTTAACTCAGTTAAGCCTTTTTGCTAACTCATTTAGCGGACAAAGTCATCCGCACTATAACAATTTATTGTACCCTTATTATTTTGTGCTTGTATGAAATACGTATGCTTGAATATTGATTACGGCCTACGCATTTATTCACTCTGCTAGTCTTACTACTAACTACTTATTCGATTCGATTACTCATTCATTTCACATGCTATATATATGTCCATGTTATTCATATGGCTGCCTCTGCTTTCTCGCTCGCTTGATTGTACTCGATTACTTATATTCGCTCAGTCGCTCGCTTGCTTGTTTGCCGTTCGACACAACTCTTAATGCTCGTTTAATGCATCTGTAATTTTGGACATCTGTGTGTGTGGTCTCGAAATAAACGTAATCAACGCTTCGTATTCGCCTTCTGATTAATATACCGTTGGGGTTATATAGGACGGTTATCAAGACGAATTGTATACGAAGTTTAAGGAATATATCAAATGCCGACCACCACACGAGTAAATGAACTGGTGGATCTGACTTTGAGTGACCTCAGAAAGAGAAATATATTTGATTTAGCATATTATTTTCGAAAACACTACTCTTTCAGATAGGATATTAGAAACTTATTGTGAGCATTTTACAAACAATATGACATATATGGGTAGTTAATGGAATAGTTCATGAAAAACCTGTCTTAAGTTTGAAAACACTTTTCTTCTGTATTTTGTTTTAATATTTAGTGGATGTCATTGACGAAATATAAAACGTTGTTACAGGTATTCGTGGTACCATTTCTGACACGAACTACAAATGTCATGTCGTCGTAGAAGTCATACAACTCCGGGTTATTTACAACCTAGAACTTTGGATGACAGGATTAGGGTGGGTCGTTTTGAACATGACTCTTTTTTTATTCAGTGTTGCCATAAACAAGTATCACTGACTTATATTATCATTATTATCATCAGAGCTTTTGTTATCTATTGTTGGTGAGACCCTTATTTAACTTACTTTTAATTATGTACAAGCAAGTTGAACGTATACAAGGCCCGTTACGTAGTGAAATAGTGGTACACAACTGAAGTTAACCTAAACGGAGTGGCTGCTCATATCCAACACTCAAGTTTCGGGTGAACGAACCTTGTATATGAAGTAAAAATGTCTCAGCATCGATATGGATAACAACTGGACGTATAGAAAGTAGGGCTCGAAAACCTTCGGTTGCTGCCGCACAACAGGGTCTCGTCTATTGATGACTCCTTGGCCATTGACTTTCTGGACAACAGGTAGCTCAATGATATTCACTGCATATATATCTGCACTTTGGTGACTAGTATACATCGTCATGCAATTAAGAGCATTTATGACAACTACTGAAGTCTAGATCATTCAGATAAGTTGTCCAGATCACTGTAAAGCTCTTAACTATCACCTTCGTTTTTTATCGCTCTCCATATCCTGACATTGTCAGTATATAACAAGAACCATTTACATACAGGAAGAAAAACACTGGTCCCAAAACTGTATGCTGAGGCACTCCGCTAAGCACAGTTTCTCAGCTAGTCAACTTTGAGTTCACTCGTACTCCTTGTTGACGCACAAGTAGGAAGTTTTTTATCTGCATTAATAGATCGCCTCTAACCCCGGCATTTCCTAACTTATATAACGGTCGGTCATAAGTAACTATCAAAAGCCGTGATAAAGTCGTTGTAGGCTACATATTTAGGTAAATTTTGATTATAAGATTGCACCAACTTTCATGGGCTGCCAATAAGTTAGTAAGGCATAAATAGCCTGTCTCAAGGCCATGCTGCTTCTCAGAAACGACCAGGTTTTCATCGAGATACTTGAACAACTTTCTGAATGATCTTTTTTAAAACTGAAACGTTCAAGCTGCCTAAGCTTACGTATCGATAGTTATCAGATTTGTGTCTCGTACTTGTTTTGAAGATAGGACTTACTGTGACGTTCTTCCAGTCTTTTAGTAGTCTCCCTTGGGTTTTTGATAGATTCAAACATGTACTTAACGGCTTTAGAATACAACTTGCTAATTTCTTTGGTAACTAGGATGCGACATATGGGGTCCTATGGATTGGCCTATATCAGGCTGATTTAGCAGACTGAAGACATCGAGTTCCTTAGCGATTGAAGTTTGTCGGACTTCTTGATGTGCTCTCAGGTATGCACGAACAGTAACTTTCGTGCACGAATTTCTAACTTCTTTCCAAGTCCTTTCAGAAGGGGATTATTTTTACATTGTCCAGTCTGCTCAAGATGCTGAGTGTATAATTTTCTGCATGTTTGCTTTCCAAACGTTCGGTCTGGCTTAAGCTAACAAATCGTTATTGATAACGACACGGGAATTGAAGACTAGAGATGCATGGTCACTTTTACCTATGGGTGGCATATAATTAGGCTTTGCGACGTTATCCTCATAATGGGTCAATATGAGATCTAGTAAACATGAGTTGGAGTTGGAGTTCTACCTTGTTGCTTCTTCCACGTGATGTGCTCTGGGTATACGTGATAACCGCATCAACTAGTTTCTGTTCGAAAAAATTTCTAACACCTCAGTCCTCAGATTTTTCTAGTCTACCGTAGGTGCACTAAAGTCTCCTAAGATCAAATGTCGGTTACCTGAAAATCGTGTGTTGGAACGGTCTAGAGAAACTTCTTTTACCTCAGTCGAGACTGCAGTAGACCAAACCAATCATCAGCTGTTGTCTTTTGTATTTTGAGCTGCAACTAACTAGGTTGCACGTTCCACTTTTATGGGGTATGTTATCCGTAACGGTATATGGGATAGCATTTCTAGTGAATAAAGTCACTTCTCCCCGTTTACACCTCTGAGTTTACTGAATCAGGCTCTCAAATAATTCAAAAGTAATGAATGTTATGCCAACAATATCAAATTATCAACCACATGTCCTGTAATCACGTGGTTGCTCCTGATGATTTAAAAATCAAGCAGTTGAAACTTAAGTTATACAACTTAATCCAGTATTTACTTATTCTAGTCTCTGACTGCATGGATCGCAGTATGTTTAAAAGTTACCCCAGTGTTTTCATTTTCGGATAACTTTTGCCGTATTTATGTGCTGGTCATGCTATATTTTTATGTTATGGAGAGTTATGCTCTAAAGTTGGCTTGATTCGTCATGCGAATTAAAAACCTTTAAGATGTATCTTTCATTTCACATGTTGTACGGCATCATTTGTACATATCACAGCTTAAAGACTTGATCCTTACTTATCTGAATGTTTTTAATGTAATTTACGGCGAGTAGCTACTTTGGTACCGACGAAAAATGACTAAATGTGTTGTATATTATCAGGGACATTGATTCTGGATCTCAAATTTACTAAGACTCAAATTTTTCATCTTGTTCTACCTAAATTTAGAATGTTTTGGTTTACGTCTGCTGATTAAAAGATGAATTTATTTAAGATCTGGTCTTTGCTGCCAGAAGTTACAACAGTTGATCATATTGAAACTGAGGGGCTTTAGGTAGCGTGTGGATTCAATGCGACATGTTAAAAAATGTTATTTTATGATAAAAATATAAATTGTTGTGCTATAAACATAATTTTGAACTGCTTAACAAAATATGAAGGCAAATAAAGTTCATTAAATGCTGAGATATTTGTTACCGACCATAAGAATATGTATATGGCTCAGTGTTAAAATTGTTGTTTCGTGCTGATACACAACTTTAAGCTCAACTTAAAAAGCCAAACCATCTCTCTTTATGTGAGCCATAGTACAGGTTTATTAAAAGGATGAAGTTTCGTTCTATATAAATAATGCAGCTCTTTGTAATGAAACATTCACTTTTAACAATTATTTCGTTAATTAACGTAGGATCCCAGAAAATGTACTTTGATTTAGGCTTATTATGGCTCTTATACAATGCTGTTTCTTTTGTTTACCTCTTTGCTTGTAACAGTCAAAAATAGTAAATTATTGAAATTTCACCTAGAATTATCGTTTCTAGTACCATCAAATGACATCAATCAGACAGTTATTTGCTCTGCTCAATGTTAAAAGGGTTAATCAAGACCTGAGAAAGTTCTAAATAAATGATGAGATGCATGTATACTCGTTGATGAAAATAACGTGTCTACATATTTATATCGGTTGACAGGAAACCGTTTCTCAAGAAGATGTGTCACAAGCGTCACAGCTCTAAAGATGCAGGGAGGTACATGTCTCTTTTAAAATTCATAAAGCAACGTTATTTATCGAGTATGTTATTCAGCCTCATTAAAATGTCAAAGAACAAGAAATATCCGGAATCTGACTGATATTGAGTTTTTAGACACGTGATATTCAGCATAACACTTGTGATTGAACAATGTAAAACTGTAAGCTATGTTAGACCTATTATGGTCTATTTATGTCATCCTATTTATGCATCATAACTGCAGTAATTATTTCGTGAGAGTTCCAAACGTTTCATAGAAAAGTTAACATTTATTTCACTGGGTGATATTTATTGAATGTCCACTTGAATGGTGACCAAGCTACTTTTACTAATTATAAAACTTCCTACAGCTATGTTTTTAGACTGAATTCCTTCATCGAAATACTTTATGGTGTAATCATGATAAACAAACAAATAGTCCAACAAATTTTTGTGTAGTCACGTAAATGGTAAGAGCAATTCGCACTTATTAAATCTGAATTTGTTTTGCACCGATGTCCTTATATTTGAACTTTAAAGAATTAAAAGTATGTATATAAATCTATTCATTCAGTGCTACATTTGATTTTTTTATCACAGGACGACTATCGCTATAATTATCGAGGATCAAGGCACTCAAGGTACGTTTTTTTTCAGCTTGATCTTAAATGTTTTCAAATGAACAAAATAGCAAAATATTGTAAACAGTTGTCACAAATTCCCCCAAATTCCATTTAAAAGGCTAGAATAACAAATATTTATGGCAAATGTGTTTTATTTTTCTCATTTAACAGTTTTTTGAGTGCTACTGTTTGATGAAAGTTTCATTTTAGTTATTTAATTTCAGGTTTCACTAGCTGTTTTTACCTCATACATTTTGCTTAGTTTGATATAAAACAATTTCATCCATTTCATTGTAACTCAAGTGCAAACCACATTTCTGAAAACATAATCACATAACGTATAACGCGATTATTAGATGTAAGATATTTCTATTTCGGTACATTTGTTATGAAATACTCAGTATTTTAATCTAAACATTAAAAACCGCGAAAATCTGGGTGATTTTATGTTTTATTTAGTATAAGTTTATGGTTTCGTAATCGTGTTATCGTTTATTTTTTTTAAACGCTTTTAAAGGCGCTATCAACCAAATTATGACGACTTCTACGCACGTCCGCCTTCTGTGTATCAGCCTGTAGAACCCTATTATCCTAGGTGAGTATACCATTTCAGCATATCGATATGAATTCATCGACATACAGGAATGTTTCCGACGTTTCGCTTAAGGTATCGGTATCTGTAAACAAAGTACATTTTTGTACTCATGGGATAACATATAACACAGATTTACTGATGTTCTGTGTCTATTCATCTATTGCTCAGGAGTCTTATACAACGATCTATCTGTTTGGGGCTGTACAGTCTAGAACCTATAAACATACTTCCATGGTGTTTACTAAATACGTAAAAAATTCTAAAAACCCGTTTTAACCAAAAAAGGTCTATCTCTGGAAAATTGTACAGAAAACACGATATGAAGAGCAGACGTTTCGCTTTGCTCAAACAAATCCTTTTATCTTGAAAGATATTCTGTTTTCTTGCTTGATTGAGACTTTTGAGATGGCTGTCCAACTACTACAAGAGAAAATTAACTAAAGTGTTTTGCGAAATTTGTGAACGGAATTCTCTAAATTTATAAGACATAAATGCTACGATTAATGTTTTGTTGGTAAAAATCACATTGATTTTTTCTGTTTGCATGTAGTGTTACTAAATGTTAACCGGACACCACGTTGCAAACAAACTGTTCATAAGTCTATCCAATGTACCGTTGCACACGAGAAGGTAGCAGATAGTTATGTTATACCATACTTGAATTGAATAAACCTATATTGTTTTCGAAGTAGAAAATGTAAGAGCCTAGAAACATGTTAGTAGAGATTTACGTACTCATAGATATTAGGATTTTATTCACAAAGTGTATGAGTTGATGACACAGATATTGAAACCAGAGTGGTAAACTTTCGATAACCTTAACATCGTTTGGGTCATACACATCTGTAGTTCAGTTACGTTTGAATTATTACTTATTTATTAAAACACAACAGTAATTATTTTATAAAACCTTAGTCAGTAAGTGTTCATCTAGCTCAGTTTTATTGATTGGTTTGAAATATTTGTTGTTATTAAGTAGCAGAACTTGTATTCAATTCACATAAAACTTTTCTTTCGAGTGCTTTTCAAGATATGAAATAGATATATTTCTGTTATATTCTATATGGCTCGATTAATCAGCCCTTTTGTTTGCTAGAAGGCAAGTTTATGGTTCTGTTTTTGATTTTCGATAAGAATGGTTATAATTCACTTGAAATTCTGAAAAACACAATTTGACTGAAACTGTAAATGTTCGTGGATTTTGTGACTGGTGGGCTTTTGGCTGCAAAATTGTTTTGTCTCAAACAAGTCCCTCGGTTGTAAGGGAGTGGAAAAACTGGCACTCAATAAGAAATATAACTAATGAAACGATTAAAAGCCACCTCCTAAATTGACAAGCAAGATAATTTTGATGAAGTTCAACTTATTAGATTATATACGTTTGTATATTCTGTAAGTCACATATTTTGTGTATTTTTGATGTAAGTTGATTAGCAGTTAGCGCATACGGTAAAACACTCCCGAAAAATCTGTTTGTACCGTAAGTTATATGTCTCACTTCCTCTGAATTTTAACAGGCCTCGTGAATCCTACTACGTTCGTCCGCCTTCAGTTTATCAGCCTACAGAAACACTTTATCCTGGGTGAGTACTTTAGTTCTTCGTAAGAAGAGGTCATAACAGTAATACACCATTGTTTTGACTAAAACTCACCGATTATCTTGGTTTTTTTTCGATTTTGTGCTCTGAGTGAGTTACATTTATTTGTTAACCTAATTAAATTATTATAACCTTTTTAGACCAGGTCCTATCAGTTTGTTGCTATCATTAGTGTTTGAAAGAAAGGAGGGGGATTAGGGAAAACAGTTATATAACTAACGTTTGCTTTAAAAGGTTTTAAAAATCTGTCAGGAACTGAAAATGATTGATTGATCTTTTTAACGAAGAACAGTTCCATTTTAAGAAGAACTATGCACCAATTTTTATGGTTTGATGAATAACTATGTAAACTGGAGTAAATATTATGACATATGGCGCTTTCCTAAACATTTAAGGCTATTGTCAGACAAGCAACTGCATGAAAATTCATTTTGATAAAGAAGAACTAGTTCAAAATGAAAGTCTTTACTGTGGCAATTTCATTCTAGAGACTATGTGAAGTAAACTGTGTACAAATTCTACGGTCGTCCAAAAGGCGTCCAGTATTCAGACAAATTTCTCGAATATCCCATAATGATAAAAATTCCGAAATTAAAAAAGGAAAATCTTTCAGTGATTAATATTTGGTGGGTCAAGCAGAATGAAGGTGATCAGTCAACTACACTTTCTACAACTAATTTAACCAACTTATTGAGATAAATCCCTTTCATTAACGACAGTCATTTTATATGCTCGTTCGGATAATGCTGTTGCTTCAAATGCCCATTACTTAATAAATCGTAGAACTTTAGGGACGCCCCTTTTTTTCTAACCAGAACCAAAGTCTACAATGAACTGCATGTTCTTTTTTATGTCCGAATTGATATTCTTTGTGTTTTGGTTATAAGAATTTGTAGGATTTCAAAGATTATTTATGAGGCTTAATGAGTTAAACGTATAATATATGTAGTAAAATTTCTGAGACATTTTATTCATAAACCCTAATACTGAAGGGTGTGGCTTTCATTCTAAAACGTAAAAATCCTTATTTCACAGATGCTGAAGCATTACATCTTGAATTGTAAATCAATTTTTCAAAACAGTGTTCTCTTCACAATCTGGTGATAAAAGTTCTACATTTCACTTTTTCTTTTCTGAAGGCCTATGCCAAATAGTTATCAGCGTCATAGTTATGCTCAACCTGTTTCTTATCAGCCTGTTTATCCATCATATCGCGAGTAAGTATTTTGGATTTAATGGTCGTAAAAAATGAACTAATTTATTAAACTAATTTCTGTGGCTTATATTTCTCTTAGTTTGACTGTTTCTAGTGTTGCTTGACTATTAATAGTTTTCATTTCTTTCACAAACCTAAATGAGGCTTGCTATTAGTTGTACTTTTTAAACTTTGCTTTCTTAAATTATCTAACACTTCTGGCTTGTTTAACTGTTTTTGAGGATGCCTGTTATTCAAAGAAATTTACACTTCAAAAACGGAGAAGGCTATAATCTGATAATAAGCGAATCCACTGAAGGTGTTACAAAATTTTTTCTTAGCTCCAGAATAATTCTTTCCAGAAGCGTAGTTTATTCTGTTACACAAAGGAATAGATGGTACATAAAAATAAGCAATGAGGTTAGTTAATAATGAGCAGCGGATTAATATAATACGAGTCTTGAATATCGTTTATTGAAACCGTTTAACTATTTATGTAGGATCAGAAGTGACTGTTGTTCTTGGTAGAACACTAGTTATTTGGTGTCACTGAATCATAGAAGGTATTAGTGTAATCGTGTCTAGTAAATATGTAGTTCCCGAATGGAAGTGAGATTGAATATACTTTGAATAAATCAAAATACATCCAAAACTATATTTTATTTTTAGTGAAACAATAAAGTTGAAGGTGAACAGCTTATAATTTATATTTTAGAGGATGAAAACTATATGTTTAATAGAAACAGGGGAGGTCAGACCAAACCAATGACCGTTGACTTAAGTCATATTGGTATGTACAGGTTACCTAGTTAGGGTTCGCATAATGACGGAGATCATTCGGTAGGGAGGAATATCTGGTATTTTGACTTGAAATAAGACACTGTGGTGAGGATACATTTAGTTCTTACTTTAATTTATATCATGACTGCTAATATCCCTTTATTCTCACTTCTTTACTTCGTCTTTTCAAAACCATATTCTCAATGCTCAGTCCCCATAGATATCATTGCTACTACATTTTTTGGATTATTTTCCGACTCCTGTTACTTTCAACTTGGGCTAGTATAATGTCTTCAATTATTTGAATTATAGCACGAACTAAAAGTCTCAGAAATAACGCAATTGAATTAAGAAGTAAGACACAAACACAAATGTATGTACTGTATTTGGAATTCGAAATCAAGCATTCAACAAGTACAAAGGTATCATTAGTTCATTCAAACACCACATCCGCCACAGCTTAAATAGAAGTATAAGTGTTTGCAATCGGTTGTACGTCTTCTTGTTAAGTTCATCCTGAGTCTGGAATTGTATACAATCAGCATGTCGGTTTTGTAATGAAATCATTAATATCTAGAATTCGAACCATAGATTTTTCAACACTATCCTCCCCCACGAAATAATGTTGGATCTTTATATCCCCAAGTTATGAATAATGTGGCTTCATTTAAAACATATTTGTCACATTGATTAGAGTAAACATTAGAACTGTTTTTGTGATAAGGGTAAACAGCAGTTGATATGAAATCATCCGAAATGTAATCAAACTCGAGGTCACTTAGTACTCGTGCTTCGCATTGAGCAGGTTTTTCACAAGGATCAAATGCATTATGAGGATAGGTAATATATGATATAACATCAGGATTTGATTCTTCTGAAATATTCTCATGAAATTCATTGGGAATGTCATTGCAGAGCGTAGAATCGTTGGAAAAATCAGCATCTATCCAAACCACATCAGGTTTTCGATCATGATTAGGTTCATTTAACATATTTTTCTCAGAATTGTAAGTAATTTCATTAGAAATATGTGAATCATTAGGAAAAGTCATACCTGGTACAATAGCATGAGAATTCTGATAAATCGGTTGATTAGGAACTGTTGTATCGCAAGAATTCTGAATTTCATTTAACTCTGAACTGCCATATGATCCTGCACTGTCTTTTGAAATCGTTGATAAAGATAAATGATCATCATGAATACTCGACTCAGTAGAATCAGAATTACAAGACTTAATATTAATTGCAGTAAGATGAACATTAGCATTACAAACTGACTGAACTTGTCCAATATCACGACATTTGAGGCACTTAGAATTACGAAATTTACATGAATTAGAAGAGTGGAACTTGCAACAGGACAAACACTGACCAAACTTGTCCCCATCCTCGTGAACTGCATCCAAATTCAATGAATTGTCTGCATAACCTTGAGTATGCACTAGGTTGAGATGACGTAGTAATGTAGTGGACTTTTTTATATCCTCATGAATCATTTTACGAAATCTTCCTCCTTTACGACATTTGAAATTTGTATACTGAGCATAGTCTAGCAGTAGATCCTTGAGAGCTGTATAAGAAAGCGAAATGGGTTTTTCCGGCATAGCCAGAGTTCTTAATAAGCTGTATGCTTCTTTTCCAATGAATGTGAGGAAGTGTGCACAATATTGACATCCTCATTATCTTCCTTGGTCATAACCCAGATTTCGCACCTTTCAAAGTAATCCTCAAAAGCTTCAGAAGTTGAATGAATATCTAACTTTTTCATTACAGGCTCCATCGCGACGCCAATATAATAATTTGAATTATTTGAATTATAGCATGAACTAAGAGTCCCAGAAATAACGCAATTAAATTAAGAAGTGAGACACAAGCACAAGCGAATGTATTGTATTTGGAATTCGAAATCGAGCATTCAACAAGTACAAAGGTATCATAATTTCATTCAGACACCACAGGCTTCACGAATATTATGAATGACAGACGGACTGAAACTTTAATGATCAGATATCGGTTGCCCTATATTTTTATAAATTAATATTTTAAGATTTATTGGCATTATACTAAGGTGGAGTGAGGTTACTACCATCTTAGTTATAACAGCATATTAAAGTTCTCTAGTAGTTTTATCCTCTTTTTTTTATGGATACTTGATATTGACCAAGTTATCAGTTTTATAGTTAAATGTTGTGTAACGTTGAAGATAGAGTGGGTGGTTAACCGTCATATAGTGGGATCTTTGACTGTTAAACACTTCTTGTAAGGAGATTCTGTGTTTGTGTTTATATTTGTTAATACAATAGAATTTTCGTAATTGAATGCTCTAACTGTAACACTGTATGACTATTATCATAGATCTTTTAGAGATGTGTACGCTCCAAGCACCTATTCGTCGTATCCACGTCGTCGTTCAATGTCTAACAATCCTCTGATAGATCCTGAGTGAGTTGTTTATTTGAGAATATTATGATATTATAAACCATTTATATGCGCTCTCTTCGGACACAATTTAATCAGTAAACACATTGCTGTACTTTTTAGCTAAATAGGCTAACTTCGGAAAGCTACTCGATAGTTTGTCTTTCAAAACAGTGTATTCTATGCGTTAAGGTCAGTTACCAGGTCTATTACTGTCGGTGTTTTGAGTTGACTGTGAATGTGCGTTTTATGCTATTCTTGAGATACTAACTGTTAATCATTAGATTTTCACTTAAAATGTTGACAATCTTCAGAAGTCTTTGATCAGTTGACGAGCACTTATTGTTAAAATTCTGTAGATGAGTTATGGTGTTCAAAATATGTTTGTATTCGACTATCGGGGTGCCATAAATAGACTATTTTAAGCCGAATGGATACTGGGATGGGTCGTGTGGTTACTTTTTAGTTGCTAAACGTTTCATATATGGAAATGTTAAGCTGGCTATGGAGGAGTCATTTAAATATTAAAATATTTGCCCTGTAACTTGTGGTTTAAAATTCCTTACATATAGTGTACAACCTTTTATTTGTAGAGATCAGAAATTCTTTACCAAAGATAGTATCATATCTAAATAAAAATAAGACCTAGTGTCTTTTGATGCTGTTAAATTTTTATTGCCGAAAAAGTCGACTAAATTTTGTAGATGTACGTCTGGGATTTTAAATATAGCCACTTTTTGGGAATTGTGAATTCGATTATTTAACTGATGTTTGTTGCTTAGGTCAATTCCTAATAATTTAATTATTTAACAGTCCGAATCATTGTTAATGTAGTGCGAATGTATTTTCATATTCTTTTTATCGTTTAATACAGTCTCTGGTATGTAATTATATCCTACAATCTGTTATGGAGTCCCGTAGGAATGCATTTGAAAATGTGGTGATGATGCCTAGTACCCTTAGCGTTCTAAACTTCGTCACCAAAAATATTTGGATAGAAATAATTCTTTGATAGATGGGACTAAATCTTTACAGTTTTCACAGTGTTTTAATCTGAGGAAGTGCACAGAATATAAAATAGGGAGATAATTACTAAATTTATCACATCTGTACCAAGAATGGCATTGGGTTGTTATTTGATTGTTTGATCCGGAATGAACTCATAAAATTGAACCTTTATGATATTTACATTTTTTGCGTTTTGCATTTTTCCATCTCAAAATCTAAATAGCACGATTTCCAATAATGGCAATACACTTTCATATTCTCCGCGTACATACCCAAGGGTTCAGATTTACCATACGTAAGCAAATTTACATTTCCGTTCTTAACATACTTTTATCTAGAAGAACAGTTTTATACAAGATAGAATCTTTTATAATACATAAACCAATTTTAGCCAAATGTAATCGTTGGGTTTTTAAAGTCGTGGTTACAGCGGTAATGTATGTGGATTTCTTATCACACTTAAGTCACTGATAAAATACTTGGGTTATGCAAATATGGAGCTTGACAAGTTTATTTATTACTTAATTTTATATTCATTGAAACTTTAGTGAAAGTATCTCGCTTAAACATTCCAGGCTATATAGAACTTATTGTGATTGTACAAAATGACACAATTAAAGTCAATTAAGACTCATATTTCTTTTATGAAATTGCTATCCTAAAGAAGTGAGGGACTAAAATACTGATGAAGGCTTTTTTAGTGTTACTTACTATGTGAAAGAATAGATTTTGTTCATGTCAAGTATATTGAAATCAATATAAAAGTTAATATACAAATTCCTTAACCACAGATTTAGCTTCTTACCACCAAAATGTTGTGAACTAAATTAATAGTTTCATAAGACAATAGAACAAACTAGAACAGAAACTCAATGGTTTGACAAACGAAATAAAATTAAGAAAGAAGTCTGTTAGTGATCTCTATAAATTGTTGTACTATATAGTTCCAGCTTGCTGTTTAGTAAACATCAGACATTACTGGGTAATTGACTGGTGTTTTTTTATGAAATATGAATTATAATGCTTTTTTCTTACTCGTATTATGCCTTGTGATCGTCATCAGCTCTAGTTTAAAACTCTGTACTTAAGTTATTTTCTACAAGTATTTCTAGAGATTCTTAAAATAATGGTTTCAAAGGAATGTTTGTAATTTCATTTTGACTATAAAAATGTAGTCTGGCAAATGTAATAATACTTTGCTTAAAATAGTCTACAAACTCTTATTACTATCAAAAAATAAAGAAACTTAAAGAGGAATTACAATTTAATTCATGTAGCCTATCGAATATCTCTTTATTATTGCAAAACATTTACTACTATGAATTAATGTGTCTTCGATCTACCTATTTATCCTTTCAAGTGCAGCTTTCACTACTCATGAACATACATATAAAAACCATATGATTCTTTTTTATTTGTTTTCATTTAGTTTGTGAAATAGACACATTAAACAAAGATTAAATTAATTATTCTTGTCCATGAGACAAGTTTAACTGACTGAAAAATCATCACCTAACATATAGGATGTCTTAGTTGTCATGTCTCTAGAGACTTCATGAGTCAAAAGTGTCATTTTTAAAATTTCATTCTCGTCTGATGGAACACATTTACTATATCAAATATATACTTGTTTAACAATACCGAACAGAATACATTTTTAAAAGATCAAGGCCATCATAGAGAACATTTTTGTACTTGATGGATGGACAGTTAAGGGTGACTCAGTTAATAACCGTTCTACTTATTTTAAACTTGACTGTTTGGATTTAACATGACTGGGCAAACTATTGCTGAAAATATCATTTCAAAATGTCTATTTTAAGATTATTTTAGAAAAACGTAAGATTACATATTAAAATCTTAGAAGATATTAAATTATTTATATTGCATAGAATGGGCCTCATTGATTAGAATATATTCTAATTAGTCAGATAATTATGTTCCTGTTATTGACTGGTTTCAGTTATTAAGAATGCTTAGTTATAACACTTCGACAAAGTGACATGGTTAACACTTGGTTGTGTGAGAAAATGTTGGTTTCACTAACAACTTATACATGTCCGTATTTTAACTAAAAGAATTTTGGGACTTCATATGTGTTGTATCGTGTATTACTAGTTCTTTACTAGAATATTTTTATACGCCTTGGTTATTTGATTTTCTCATGAAAAAGCGCAATATTTGATACTGATAAGTAGTTTTCTGCCTACTTATCTAAATTTAAAGAAGATCAGACAAACTAGCTGAAACATGCAGTATAAACAATTTTTTCTTGTAAAAGCTTTTTCATTTCATTTTATTTTTTTTAACGTTTTCAGAAGGAATACAAACGATGGGTACTATTAATAAAGAGGATACACATCTTCTGGTTTCTGTTTAAACCAAGTTGAGTTTTGGTGAGCGTTATTTAAATCAACTGTTAAAACTAGAGAAAAATTATTGTTTCATAGTTAAATATTCACAAATTAGTTGATCAAATGTTTTGTAAATCTCACTATTGGAAGGTTCAAAACACTGAAACAATCCACATACCATTTGCTAATATTGCCATTATTTTAAGACATAAGTTTTCATTTTCTCAGTTAGCATTAAAACGTTATCGCGAACATTAGTTCAGTTAATATTTCTGGACACTATCGACTGAATACAGTTAAAATAAAAGCTATAAAACAACTAGATGTCTAGCATGTATGAATGTTTCGTTCTATTGAAGGAATGGAGAAAACTGAAATTCATGCAATTGTTTTTAATCTGTTTACCTGGTGAACGGGAGAAAACTTTACTGGTTAACTTTCATTTCTACTAATGCTCATAAACAATCATCATATCAATGTATTTATGCGTCCTGAAAAATTGAATATTTGAGAAGTATATTTAAATCATGTACATTTCAGATCCTTCTGTTGAAAATGAACCATTACGATTTAAAGATAAAAGTAAATTAAGTATACTCGGTACTCAGACTGGAAATTGAGTTTTGTGTAAAACAATTTATACAAATTTAGAGATAAAAATTATTCTAAAAGAATTGATATGTTCAAATTTATGCTTAGTTCTAGCAATTAAATGTTTAATTTACTCTTTTATTCATGCACAATTACTCCATAAGTTTTTAATCTTCAGAATGTTTTGAAGAGTAAGTATTATTCTATATACAACATATTTTATTCGGGAATTAACAGAATATTTTATAATTAAATCAAATATTTTTTTGACAAAACGAGCAATTTAATGTTAATTTATGGTACGTTTAGAGAAAGTTGAATACGCATTAAATTATTGTTCAAATGAAAAACGTGTCATATAGTGAACACTTTGTTCTCTATTAATGTCTGTTTTTTCTTCATTTTTAATAATGCCTACTTAGTATACTGTAATAAGATAACAACCAAATTAGATTGATAGATTCAATGGATGTTGAAATTTTAATTTTAAGTTATGATGAGACATCTAAATAGTGAAAATTCCCATTTTGACATTTTACAAATAAAGAAGGAACAAATTGGGCGAAGAAATTTCTTTTCAAAGAAACATTTAAATGGGTTTAATTGGAAGACATTTCAATTCAAAAAATATATTTTTACACTAGGAACGATTCTTGATATGATCGAATCATATTTTCATTCGTTAGCTCCTACTTAAAGGTTGTACTCATGGGTGTTACAAATAGAAGTACGTATTTTGAATAAAAATAAGTATTGAAAAAATATTGCAAAAGCTGGATTTTGGTATCTGAAAAGATTTATGCAGTGATTATATTCAGCAAGTAACTACATGAGGAAATGTGATATATATAATATCAGGTTCAGTCCTTAGTTTAGATATTTAAATACAAAGGCACACATTCAATTCAAAATAAATAAGTGCAGAAAGTAAACAAAAGATTGATTTCCAAGCTGCTTCTACTTCATCGAGTTATTTTCTATTCAGAAGTGAATTGGATTTCTGTTTAGTTTTATTTATTCACACTCTACACTTAAGAGACAGAAAAATTCAGCCTGATAGAAATATGTCAGTTTTTATGATTTCTATTATATATGTAGACAATCGATTGACCCCAAATATGTTTCCTTTTTGATCTTGGTTCTTGACGAGATGGATGACAAATGTTAGTGCTTATTTATTCCTTCGTTCTAAATTGTGCTTTAATACTACAGTCAGGTACTAAACTATTGCGTGCTTAAATCGAGTTTGAAACACGCTTCAATATCTGAACGCTATGTCGAAATGTTTACCACATGCTCATTTAGGTGTTCACTTAAAGTAATCTTATATTCCAAAAGTAATTATTATTATCTGATAATACATTATCCATTAAATAAATTTCAAAAGAGAAGAATTCTTAATATTCTTATAAACTTTCGGAGGCGTGTAAAGATGTAAATATTACATAATTCTGATGCCAAAAACTATAAAAAGGATAGTCAAAAACCAATGTATTTTACGGAAAATTTACATTCAGAGAATGGATTGTAAAATGTTTTCACATAGATGTCTTGAAAGTATCTTCTAGATCTAGTGAAAAACTATCACTACATTTTTGGCAACACTTGTAAAGGTCTACGTTGCTTGTTTGAGTATTATCATTGGAGAAATTAACAAATAAAATGAAATAAAATGTTAAGATGAGACGATTTATATTGAAAATTAATTTTATATTTAAAGTGTTATTTTATTTTTATTACATTTTGAGGAGGTTATAGACCCAATTAAGATGAATTATGATCAGTAGTGTAAAAAAGTTGTTCAAAGTAAAGAGAAGAAAATGCATAAGAAAACACTATGTTAAATGATTAAGTTATCAGAAGTTAGACACTATAGTAACATATCCAGAATGTATAAAAAAACACTAATACGATTTTTATACTGCTGTGTTAATAATTATTAATTCTGTTTTAGTTATTCGAATTCGAAAGTAAACATAAGATTTATCATTGTGTTAGAATCAAAGTTAATAGATATTTACTATCAATGTTTGATACTTTGAAAATCAGTTAAATAAAACAGGTTTTATGTAAGTGTTACCTAAACAATATAGAATGTGGTAGTCATGAGATAATTGTCATAAACAAAAAGTTCCGTAACAATATTTTTCCCATATTTTTGTACTAAGAAACAGTAAATATTTCTCAAAATACTTATCTGAAGAAATTTTGTAAGCATTATTATTCTATATATATTTATATAATTATTCTTTTTAAATCATTATTACTTTTTATGGAATTTATAACTATTGTATAATCACTTTCTTTTAGATTAAGAAATATATCACGAGATGCCTTGATCATACTCTGAACATAAACCTTTTTGAATAATGTATAATTAAAAATGAGCTTATAAGCAAGAATTTTAAAATTTCTTTATATTTAAATACATTTTTATTTGACATCTTTTCTTTCATTTTTTTTTGAATTTGTTATATAATCATATGAAGATGAATACATGAACTATTGTTTTAATGAAAAGATGTAACATAAATATTTATGTTCATCATCTAGGCAACTAACTATTAATGTTAACTTGAATAAAGAATGAAAATTAAAAGGATTTTTTTTTTGAATGAAGAACTATCGTATGTTTACTGTTAAATAATGAATTAATTCCAATAAAATATTTAAGAAATTAAATTATTTTGTTTGTCAGTATTAATTTATTCTCATGTGATAAGAGTAACATCTATTGTATTATACGTACAATAATTATTTCTAGATACATTGAATTATAAATACTTAAAACTCTGCAACTGAATACTTTAGGATAATTAAAGGCCTAATAATTAAATTCTGTTGTTCAGAGTACAGTTCACATATCGCTTATTGATTACCTAGGTAAATATACTAAGTTCACTGGTAATCAAATGACCAGTATATAAGAAGATTGAAAGAGAACAGAGATGGGCTATATTTAAAGTTTTATACAAATAAATAGAGGTAGGGGTCAGATGGTTGACAAATAAAATGACAAAAATGTGAAGATGCCGATCATATTTGAGTTTAATTAAAAGTTTATTTTTATGTAAGTGGTTTATTCAGCTCCATGCAATAATTTTCAATGCTTCACTGAGATTAATTAGAAATAAATAGTGTCTTATTTATGTGTATTGGTGTAATAAACGTTGCAACTTTAACGTAGATTGTTTAAACTTGTCAAAAATGTAGTTGGATTTTGACAGGTTGCGGTCAAACTGCACACTGTTAGCTTTGTCAGCGATGAGTAACTAGAAATAAGGCAATTATATTTGTAATACATAATAGTTTAATTGACAATTATTTATAAAATATCATTTATATATTCAGCTAGTGAATTAAAACTCTAAAGCAGCACTGAAAATATTATATCTTAGTGGTACATTTTCTTTTTTACACATATTACCATTTGGAGTAAGATTGAGAATATTTACTTCATTATAATGTTTTGAATTATTTGAATTATAGCACGAACTAAAAGTCTCAGAAATAACGCAATTGGATTAAGAAGTTGGACACAAACACAAATGTATGTACTGTATTTGGAATTCGAAATCAAGCATTCAACAAGTACAAAGGTATCATTAGTTCATTCAAACACAACATCCGCCACAGCTTAAATAGAAGTATAAGTGTTTGCAATCGGTTGTATGTCTTCTTGTTAAGTTCATCCTGAGTCTGTCCGACAGTGTATAAGATAAAAACTTTGTAGTATCTAGAAAGTGCTCATTAGTATTGGAATTAACAAACGAAATCGGAACAGACTGACCTGGAATTGTATACAACCAGCATGTCGGTTTTGTAATGAAATCATTAATATTGAATTCGAACCATAGATTTTTCAACACTATCCTCCCCCACGAAATAATGTTGGATCTTTATATCCCCAAGTTATGAATAATGTGGCTTCATTTAAAACATATTTGTCACATTGTTTAGAGTAAATATTAGAACTGATTTTGTGATAAGGGTAAACAGCAGTTGATATGAAATCATCCGAAATGTAATCAAACTCGAGGTCACTTAGTACTCGTGCTTCGCATTGAGCAGGTTTTTCACAAGGATCAAATGCATTATGAGGATAGGTAATATATTAGCATCCTCATCATCTTCCTTGGTCATAACCCAGATTTCGAACCTTTCAAAGTAATCCTCAAAAGCTTCAGAAGTTGAATGAATATCTAACTTTTCCAACGTGATACAATTTCCTGAGGCGTTCCATGTTATGATATTATGTAATAGCTTACACATGTGCAGCTGATGATCACGGAATAATTATTTATTGCAGCCGTATGTATATAAATGTCTCCTGAAGTAAATTTTGCATATACAGATTTTACAGCGAGACTTTAATTTATGGATGAACTAATCAGATATAAGATAAAGAGTCTTGAATTTCGGTGCGAAATTTATTGACATACATATGGTTATAAATAGCATTTCGGCATTACAGCTGGCGTCGGTTTGTGATGAAAACCCTAACTATAATTCTTAGCCGTAACTTCTAGTCTTAAGTCTCGATTCTAATTTGTCACAGAAACTTATATCCCTCTTTAGACCCTACAAGGTAGGTGGATTTTTTCAAGGTCAATGGTGTCGCTCAAAGATCGTCCATAAATTATTGTCTCACATACTTTACTTACTCATGCACTATGATATAATTGGAGTGAATTTGAGTACGTCTCATTCTTACAGTGCTTACTTTAAGTAGTGTGCTTACAATATTTCAGTTACACAATAAGAAAACTTAGTATTAATGCAGTTTAATAAGCGAAGCCTTTTTCACATCCGTAGATTATGCATAAATGTATAGTATCAATTTTTAACCAAAGGGACACAAAACGTTAATAGGAGCTATCTAGATTTATGCTTTTAATACATTGTGTAGGGCCAGTGAAATTTCACTAAGCCCTAGCCAAATCCCTGGCGCTACAATAGATTCTAGCAAAACCGGTTGGTAAAGTGAACTTTAACATTAAATAAATATTGAAAATTACCAGTTTGGTGGATGTTTCAATTTTAGTACCGAGCGTATCAGATAAACAGACATTTTCAATATATAGCCTGGGGTTGCCTTGGCTCATGTTAGCAAAAAAAGATGGAGTTAAAGAGGGGAATACGAAAGAAAGTTGAAATAATGTAGAAAAATTAATGATTAAAAATACTAAACACTGGGAATAAGGTTCAAAAAGACTGGAAGAGGTGTTAACCTGTTGACTAGTACTATTTACTGATAAACATGCCAATTAAAAGAATCTGTTAATGTTGCAGATATCACGTTATTCACACTCACTGAAATACATAAAATTATATTATGATTGTTTAATAGACAAAACCTTAGTAGTGAAAATTTAATATGCTATGACAACTGTTTATCCGACAATCGTGATTTCTCATTTCCAAATTGCATAATCACCAAGGTGTAAGTACATTTACGAGGATTTCTCAGACATACTATTATATTTGGGAAATTATGTCATAATTATTACACACTCAAATATTCACTAATTCTGATATCTTATCCCCTTGCAACTTATAAATAAAAGTACGAATACCAATCAAATCGATAATCGTTAAAAATCTACCAGTCTGTACTGTCAAATAATTCATATTTATTGATGGATATAAATGAACTTAAGTTGGTTGTGAAAACCATCTCAAACATAATATAATCAGTAAGATGATACGTTATATTAACCCCACTAATGATTATCTTGATCTCAGTGGTGAATACGTCAGAATATCTATAGAAATTATCAATCATAAAATAAGGACTTATTATCTAAACATTACTTCCGTAGTTCTTCCTGCTAATTATTACGCATGTAAAGTACACCATTTTAATGCTGTAGACTATACTGATTTAGTAGATGCTTAGCTATTTATGTAGGAACCATAAAGCAAGTGACAAAAAATAAGGTGAAGCTTATAGAATTTCTTCGAAGACGCATTGATATCAACAATAAAAATTATATTATTGTTTTATCCACTTACAGAATCGATAAATCTATGTCATAACCGCATTATTCCACTCACAAAAGGTGACGCTCAACCGTGCTTGATGGGTAAACAAGATGACTAAATGTACTGCAACTGGAAAATCTCACTCAATCGTCAAAAGCATTGCCACTTTTTGGAACAAATAATATCCCTCAAAAACAACATTTTTATCATCGGATTTTTAACTAGACTCAGGAATCACATTATGTAGTTGTATCTACCGCTTTTCACTGTGTAGTGTCTTTTCTATCACTACCTAATGTAGTTGCATCCACGACTACATTCATGAAAGAATTATTCCTACTGTCGTTGACCTATTCCATTCCATGATGCTGAAAAACAGTGTTTATAGGGCAGTCAGACGGATGATCAAGTGAGTTAAATAGAAAATGAGAATACAGTTCCCGTACTTGGACCGGACCAGTAAAGTGGAGGATGCAGACAGATAAAATGTGAAACAGAATGTCGACGATCAACCGGAGTTCTTGATTACTTAGCGAAATCTAGCTGATTAATATCATGGTATTATATCATGTTAGCTTTCTGTATTCCCATAAATAGACCAAACACAGGACACTTACGATTTAGGTTGCACATCACTGTCCTGTTCATTGGTTCCATGAATTTCTTGTTACTCCTTGCTAACAAAATTACTTTTGTGTAAGCACTCTGCTTTACGTCTTTTTTCCTCAGAAGTTTAATTTGTAAATATTGGCAAAATGTTAAACTTTAATCATTGTCGGTATTTTAGTAGGAATCGAATCTACATAAATTTATGTTACTGGAGTTGATTTGTACTTATAGTACAGCATTTTTTTTCATACAAAGTAATAATTAAAATGTTTCATACAAGATATTCTACAGGTAAATTACTACTTAAATATAGCGAAACTATGAGTCAAAAAAAATGCGAATTACCTGTAATCGGCATAAAATATTATGCGATATCACATTGTTCACTAAAGGGGTATCACCAATGACGAAAGATATTGCTGCCGTAACACCGTCTTAGAGATTTCTGTGACAAAAAGTCTGAATTTCATTGTCACTGCCATGACGACAGCATTTAGTGCCACTATCTAATATAGAGATATAACATCCATGGTAATTTTGTATGTATCAGTTTTTGAAATTGGATTGTCTATGGTCATGACCTCGAAAGTTTTAATTTTTTGGCTCTTGATTTGTCACTTTGATTTTTGACTCTGGAAAACCTAAACAATGTAGGTTTGTGATTAATTTTCCTTCTCTAATTGTCACAAGAATAATATACTCATAATATTCAACTGTTTGA